ATGACATTAAAATGAACCATAAATGATTGAAAAAAATAATTGACTTTTAATCATTTTGGAGTCGTTTTGATAATATCATTTTGATAATATGATTGTATTCTTAGATATCGGCACATCCTATCGTAGAAAAGGAATTTTTATTGAATTAGCGTGCCGATGCATTTTGTCATATATTTGCAAAGTAATCGATTAATTGTTGCGTGCATATAAGTCTAATGCGACTTATGTCGTGTACCATAATCGTATTTGAACAACGATATTATTAATGTAAAATGTTTGCGTCAATATCAAGTGGAAGTTTACGAGCAATTTGCGGAGTGAGTTTACGAGCAGGCTCAGGTAATTTCTGTGCAAATTGTGCATATGAATTAGATCGCGTTCACCGCGACCACCATCTGCTATCGATTAGCAACCACATGCAATGCTGCAATAAATCAAACATCGATTCTCTAAATATATCATGTTTATGCTTTATAATTTCAGAAATTGTGCGCATTAATACATCAAGATACATCAAGACATCTCGCAGATATATTCATAACTATCGTCGAACCTTTAATTATATTTTTGTTTATCTGTTCTAGTGTTCTATTTTTTATTTTGTTTGTATTTATTTAAATATAATGTCATATTATAGTATGGCGTTTTTACTCACAAAATAATTTTAGAGACATTCCTATAAAAATCACCCACTCTCATCATATTTATGAGAAGATGAGACCGGGTTGTCCTCGAATTGGCTTCGAAATATGCGAGCTCTGCGTAATGACACGTCTTAAGAAGAATTTACAAGCAGAGAATTTACATACGCAATTCGGGATCAAAACAATGCGACGACACTGTCTGAAATAAATGCGAGAAATGAATTTTGTTTCTGTCTTTCTTTCTTTCTTTCTTTCTTCTCTGTTTGTGGCGGGCGTGGGATGTGATTACAAAAGAGGCTTTAGAAATTTTCTCACGGCTCGGGTTTTATTAGCCGCAAGCTCGCCGATCGAGAAATGAATCATAAACCTCCACTCTCGCCATAATTTCTAATGGAAGATACAATGAAGATAGCGTGACGTAATCATAACCATTATCGACAAAGTAACAATCTTTGAAGTTGCATTGTAAAAAGATGTAAAGAACGCAATGTAAAAATTATGATAAAAGAATCGTATTTTTAAATCCTGATCTGTTAATTGCTTTTAATTTTTGCTTTTAATTTAGCTCATATTCAGAACGCGCTTTTATACAAATTTTTATTCTAAAATTCCATAGAATATGTATAATGTGAACTGAATGCTAAAATATGCCCAATACAATCAATATTGTTATACTGACTGTATTGAGCCCCTTAATTACATTATTATAAAAATATACAAGAAATCATGTCTAAAAAATATACTTCGCTATTTATTATTTATGACAAATAGCTTTATCATTATAATTGAACAGATTGAAAGATTTAATGCAATGTTTTAATGTTTTAACGAGCTAAAAAAAATCTCGAGGAAAATGAATTTCGCTTTCTTCAAGTACAAAAAATAATTCTTGATTAATTCTTTAAATTTTTGAAAAAATGCATTAGACCAATCAATAATGTAATTGTTATTAATGTTGTAATTTATATATTTATACATATTAATTAATATAAAATTTTAATTTTGTAATTTTTTTCTCTTTTATAAAATTTTACTCTTTACTTTTATAAGACAGAGAATATGAAAAATTACAAAAATTTATTAACGATATTATATTTTTTTTATTTTAGGTTCTAGGTCCGATTTCCGGCTGTCACATAAATCCGGCTGTATCAGTCGGTCTGTTGATCAGCGGAAATTGCAGTTTTCTCAAAACCGTCTGTTATACAGTCTGTCAATGTTGCGGCGCTATAGCGGGTTCTGTTGTTCTTAAGGTACGTAATAAAAATTCAAACGTTCACTGTAACACCCAATCCATTCCTTTTTAAAAAATTGAGCATTTAGTCTACATATATATATATATATAATAACTTCCAAATTGATTTCCATATCTTCTGAAAAAAATTCTTCAAATAAAAAGAAGAACTACTTAAAAACGATCAGATTACATAGCGATTTAGATTTATCTATTATTCTATTTAATTAATTAAACCATGAAGAAGAGATGATTGTAGCGACTTTCATCTTTATGACTATTTAAAATTTAATTCTTTTTCATTTTACTTTTAAAACTAAATGAAATTGCTTAGAATTTAAATCACTGCATAAACCATCACATTGCATGAATTATATAAAATTCTGGTAAGATACGCCGACGTATCGTTCGACATTTAAGCGCACTTACGTTTTTTACACACGTAATCACAATGATTGTCCAGCCGAAGCGTGAAATTGATCGTTGATAGCCTGTCATTTCGATTTGGTGCGGGACTTCGAAAGGTAGTGCCCCGTCTTATTCATATCAATTAAATCGTCATTATGCAAGGTCAAGGTTTGCTTCTCCTTCCCGACTTCTTCGTACATCCGTTACATCAGAAACTGGTCGTGATCGAGTCGGCCATCTGGATTGTGCGTGAGGAACAGTAGCGCACGTGCGTGCGTGCGTGCCTGATAATAATTTGCGTATCTTTTATTGCCTGAATTAATTTCGATGAATATATATATATATATATATATATATATATATATATAAACCGACATTAAATACTTCATTTGTTAATGCTTAACTCTTATTGCTCTGCCATTGTAATCTACAATAATTTATGATAAAGGAGAGATATTTAATTATGAATGGAAGAAAATAGAGAATACCTCGTTATTTTTTTGCATCAATTTAACGATTAATCAGTGACAGTATTAAAGAAAAAAAATTCGATTGTGAATTATTGCAAATGATTTAAAATTTGCGGGCAATCTTATTTATTTATACATTGATTGCGTTCAGAAGAAGACTCAACAACTGAATGGACGCTTGCTGTTATTGATGTATTCTTCATCTAATCAGATTTTTATTACTCGTTTTCATCAATGTAGATTAACTTTAATTTCTAGAATTAGAGATTTCTGGAATTACAGATTAACCTTCAGAATTAGAAAAAGACGAAGAGTAAGTTGAACCGAGATTAAAGTTAATCTATGTTGATGAAAACGGACATTAGAGAATTTCAATCTATTAGAAACTACATGCATTGTGGAATACACTGCAGTTTCTGATAGGTTGAAATTCTTATTCTCTATTCTCTATCTATTCTTTTGATGCGCAATCCCTCATTCAATTATTGGATCCGTTGAACGTATCTTGATAGTCATAAATCAAATTTATTTATTTTTTTCTATCACGATATTCATTGATTCGTCTAATCGAATTGTTCTTTTATCTAGCTGCTTTTACCTAAGGAACAAGTCGCCCATGGCCTAGGCGCTACCGCGTTGCATCATGAAGTGACTGACGCTCAGGGTGTAGGAGTGGAAATAATCATCACGTTCCTGCTGGTGCTGGTCGTGCACGCTGTCACGGATCCCAAGAGGACTGACGTGAAGGGTTGGGCCCCACTTGCGATCGGCCTGGCGATTGCTGTGGCTCATATGGCGGCGGTGCCCATCACTGGTAGCAGCATGAATCCAGCTAGGAGTCTGGGTCCGGCCGTGGTGGATGACAAGTACAAAGATCTGTGGGTCTACTGGGTGGGCCCACTTATCGGCGCTGCTGTGGCCGGTGGCGTATACAGAATGGGCCTCAGAGCCAACAGAGAGAACGAGGAGGGTTCATATGACTTTTAAAAGCGACCTTTGAATCCTACGAACACGCAAGATGAGTTCTAACAATAATATTCTGCGAAGATTTCCCGAGTGTAAATAAAGAAGTAGAATTGTAAGGATAACGGCGTGAAAAAACGATTATGTGACCTTCGTTGCATTTAACAAGACCATGTTCGTGAAGAAGTACGATTTGTAGGATAGATTTCTAAGTGGAATTGAACGCTGCGAATTAAAGGAGATCGAATTGTTAGATTCGACGTTAGATTCGAATTCAGGAAGGAAGATTATTTTGATCAAAATTATTCTGTGTAAATCTATTCAATATTTTACTTCTTCCTAATATTCTATTTTATCTGGAAATGTATTATTTATATCATTTACATTCAATATGAGATGGTGCTAGATTTTTATTTTTGTCTAGAGCCTATTTTCATTCAACAGAATTAAACATGAAAAAGTCACTTAAGCCTATTCTACAATGTACTCTTTGTTTCCTGTTTCTTGCTCTTTATCTTTTATTTTTTCCTTTTTTATAACTGTTTTATCGATATTGCTACGTGTTTCTTGTTTCTTCCGAAGTTCGATAACTTTTATTTCGGGCGACATAAAATAAAAAACCGGATAAGAAGCAAAAAGACAAGATGTAAAAAATAGCAAGAAACAGAAAACAAAAAGTTCATTGTAGAATAGGCTTTAAAGAAGAAATATAACGATATTATTGTAAAATAACATAAAAAATTGCAGAATATTATCTTAATATTATCTTAATATTAATCGGTAATATTATTATTAAATACTATTGCGGAGTAAGAAATGTATATGATGTTATCACACAATAATTATATTAAATTGATATCCTTCCTCAAAGATTCCTTTTTCTTAAGAAATTAGTAATTTAAAAGTATTTACCTAGAACATGCAAAGAGAGATTTCTTTAATTAATTACTATCAATGTAATATCATCGTGAGACACCGTCATAACTCGAGATCATTTATCAATCAACTCTCTTCTCGTATGAATTCTACATCCGCTATTTTTGTACATCGTTAATCTGAGTTTTGTATATATTGTTAACTTAATATAACTGACGTAGCAATAGTATAACGTATAATCTACGTTTAATTAATTAGTTTACAGTTTATCCATAACGACGGATAGACAGCATTAACAAATATACTCTTTATCGTCAGTGTACTATTTGCGTTTTTATTTTTACAAATTCTTGCCCTACTTCTCGAAATAATAAAAGTACTTATATAAGTTTCAAAAGATGCATATCTTTGAAAATCTAAGAAGAGCGAAGTGTAACAGCAAGTATCTAGTTTTAATCTGAATATCGATGAAATTATATTGTTATTTATAAGGAAGATTATACATTATCGTTTTGTCGCAGCACAAGCATTCACGTTGAATCGAAAGTGTCTCAAAATAGCATATGCTAAAATAGCCGCGCCCAGTTTTCGCTTGTCAGACACGCCATCAGAAACTAGTAACTTCGAGACATCGTTCGGGATTACAAAGTGCGTTCTCCAATTAGTGATTCTAATTAATTTCATATTATCTCTCGTGATTTTGCCGAGAAATTAATTCGAGAATTGATCGTGAGAAATTAATAAAGATTCGACGAGAAAAATATAAAAGTGTCTATTAATAAAAAATATAAAAGTATATATTAGTACTTAATAATAATTATCAAAATGATTCTGAGAAATTTTAATTAATATTAAAAGAAATACTATTCATTTAATTTGAATATTAAA